GGCGATTCTTCCACCTCAGGCTTCCAAGTAGCTGGAACTACAGGCGTGCGCTACCACACCCGGATAATTTTTGATTTATTGTAGAGATGAGGTCTCACCAAGTTGCCCAGGCGGGTCTCGAACCTGCAGACTCAGGCAATCCACTCACCTCAGCCTCCCAAAGTGTGGGATTACAGGCTGAGCCACCGAGCCCTGCTGAGTTCCCTCTTGAACCCCAGGATGTGCCCGAGACAGGAGGAGCATCTGCTTTGCAGATGAGGAAACTGAGGCTGGGGGGTAAAGAATCTTCCCCAGGGACAGAGTAAGGAAGTATAAGGCCACCCTTGGGGGCCACACCCCCCCTTGGAATGGGCATCAGGTAAAAGAGAAAGCCACTAACCGGTGCTGGGAAGGGTGGAAAGTAACTTGGAGAAAACTCATTTCTTGATGATGTTACGGCGGAAAGCGCCCTCTGGCAGCGTGACCAGAGGTAGGCCAAACTTAGCTCAGTAAAGATCCCAAAGGAAATGGTTCTAGGCATAGTTGTCTAGACTTCTAGAACCTCTTTCCCTTCTTCCTACTTTTCTCTTTTTCTACAATTTAAAACATAATACCCATACCTTACTTTTAAATCACGAAAAAAAAGGAATAAACTTTTTACATTGTACCAACCTCTTTGGCCCAAATTCACATCCCAATTCCATCATAATTCACCTCCAAGGCAGGTGTCCTGTGCTTCCTGTAAGCATAGTGCCAGAGGCTTCCCTGAGGCCGTTGCCAGTGGAGAGGGAAGAGATTACCTGAAGACCTCTCCTTCATTGGGGACCCTCTCCATCATGTGGGGGATATCTCTCCTTCTCCAGGATGCTCTTCCTTCACCTGGGGTTCTCTTCACTCTCCGCAGCACTGTCTTCTACCCCTCCCTCTCCTTCCCTTTCTTTCTTCCTGAAGGGCCATCCCTAGGGCAGGGACTTCAAAGAAAATCATTCCCCACAACTCTTTTTTTTTTGAGTTGGAATCTCACTCTGTCACCCAGACTGGAGCACAGTGGCACGCTCCTGGCCACTGCAACTTCAACCTGCTGGGCTCTGGCGATCCTGACGCCTTAGCCTTCCAAGTACCTGAAACTACAGGTGTGAGCTACCACGCCCAGCTAAATATTTTTGATTTTATTGTAGAGAGGAGGTCTCGCCAGGTTGCCCAGGCGGGTCTCGAACCCGCGGGCTCAGGCAATCCACTCACCTCAGCCTCCCAAAGCACTGGGATTACAGGCTGAGCCTCTGAGCCCGGCTCCCCACAACTCTTAAGCTGTCCTTTCCCAGGTCCAAAGAGTAAGCCAGGGCTGTGACATCCTTCCCCTCAAGCCAGTTTTCAGTTCCTGACCACACACAGCCACAATGCTGCTGTGACACCCAAGACCTGGACAGTCTCCCCTTTCCTCGTGGCCCCGAAACTCTGGGAACAGCCTGCAGGACTGTCTCAAAGTCACTAATGATAATAATAACAACAACAGCAATAATAACAACAACTCCTTCCTTTCCCTTTAATAAAAAAAAAAATTAACAATAGGGAGAATTGGGTACTGAGCAGAAACCACGAAGAAAAGCCAAACAAATAAGTGTTGCAATCTGGGCATGAGTTTTGGCAGTTCGTCGGCCCAAGGCTGCCCTAGCAGCCAAATAAGCAGCACCTCCTCCCACCCACTCACAACAGAGAACAAGGGCCAGGGCTGGGGTGGGGGATGAGCAGGTAGGGGCGGAAGGCTGGATTTAGCTCCACGGTGACCCAGAGAAAGGCTCTGGTCCCGCGTGCTGCACAGAGTGGCTTCGGCAACCGCCGCAGAGGACCGGCGGGCAGGACAGAGGCGCTCTCCAGGCTTGGCGTTCCCGTCCGTACTATGGGGCTCCAGCAGGGTCGGGCAGCGTCAGGTTGCTGGGGTCCCTCCCGAAGCCTCCCAGCCCGCGGTGCCCCTCACCCTGGCCAGCGCCTTCTCCTGCTGAGGGCTCAGGTCCCCGACTCGGCCGCTCATGGTGCTCGCGGGCGCAGAGTGGCTCAGGGCGCAGGTGTGCTCCACTCGTCTGCCCGCCCGCCGCCTGGCCTGGCTGCCGCAGCCTGGTTTTGCAGGCAGGGCCAGATGCTGGTCCCGCCCCGACGGGAGAGCCGCTGGTCCTGCCCCGCCCCGTCCTGTTCTCGCCTCCCCACGTAGGTTTTTGGGCGGTCGCCAAGCACATCCTACCCGGGGCAGGGAGGTGACCAGCCCCTAGAGGGCTTCCAGAGCACAGACTCAGTCTGGGACAACAGGTGGTCCCCACCTTCAGGCCTCCTCACTGTGAGGGCTCCTCCACTTCCCCGGTGGCAGGGTAGGGAATAGGGAATACACTGAGATCACCTTCTGAGCAACATGGAAAAACTTTATTTATAAACCTGTCTTAACCCTTTAGGATGTCCCCAGGCTTTCTGTCTAAGGGGCCCCCAAGCTCCTTCCCCTGGCTTTGAACACAGGCTGGGCCCTGCCAGTGTTCCCTAGCTGATAGGAGAGCCCTTGTGTGCAAAGTGGTCCAGCCCTCAAGATGGTGGAAAGGATTAGATAAGAGGCAATCTGGGTTAGCCTCCTGCATTCCATAAGTGTTGGCAGTTGGAAATAGAGTTTCACAATTTTATGATTATTGAGACTGCCACCAGAGTTGGGTGCTGCAGGGGTGTAGATCCTGGGATGGCACAGGCAGTGAACCCCTGGGCGGGATCCACAGTCTGAAGGAGGAGTGAGAGGTGGCAGGAGGGTGGATGGCTAGAAGACAGAGGGGCTGGGGCGGCAGGGCTATTGGTGGCTGACACAGAAGAGCCAGGCAGAGGCCACTGTGGAAGGTGAGAAAACACAAGTTGGCTGGGTGTGAGTTGTCAAGAGAAGCTGGTGGGAGGTGAAGGTGAAGGGGCAACAAAACAGGCCACTGGAAACTTTTCGAAACCTCAGTCCTCCCATAGGGTCAAGCCAAGGTCTAGTCCTGAGATAGACAATCTGGTGACTGCTGGTTACATGTGGCTGTTGAGCGCTAGTGAGAGTAAGTGTTGTAAGTATAAAATACAAACGAGGCCAGGCGTGGTGGCTCATGCCTACAATCCCAGCACTTTGGGAGGCTGAGGAGGAGGGAGGATTATCTGAGCCCAGGAGTTTGAGACCAGCCTGGGTCACATGGCGAGACTCCGTCTCTACAATAAAACAAAAAATTAGCTGGGCATGGTGGTGCGCACCTGTAGTCCCAGCTGCTCAGGAGACTGAGGTGGAAGAATTACCTGAGCCCAGGAGGTCGAGGCTGTGGTAGCTAGGATCAATTAATTTCATCTATTTCTTTTGACTTAAAATTTTTGAAATCTTTTCTAATTGATAAATTTTATTTTTTAGAGAAGTTTTAGATTCATAGTGAAACTGAGCAGAAAGTACTAAGTTCCCATAAACTTCCATCCCCGCACATGCACAATCTCTGACACCAAAGAGTGGTATATTTGTTACCATTGGTGGACTTACACTGATACACTATTAGTGTGTCATGCAAAGCCCATAGTTTACCTTAGGGTCCACTCTTGGTGTTGGATATTCTATGGGCTTTTGACAAATGTATAATGACATATATCCACTAGTGTAGTATCATAAAGTATAGTTTCACTGCTGCAAAAATCTTCTGGCCTCTGCCTATCTTTTTTACTTTTAAAATATGTAAACACCAGAAAATTTAAAATTATACGTGTGGCTCACATTTGTGACTTGCACAATAGTTCACCTGAGCATTGTTTGCCTTAGAGGATTTTTTAATTTTTAAAAAAATGCTTAAAAGAAAGCAAAAGTGACTGGATGTGGAGGCTCATGCCTATAATCCCAGCACTTTAGGAGGCAGAGGCGAGAGGATTGCCTGAGCTCAAGGTTTCAAGACCCCTCTGGCAACTTGGTGAGACCTCATCTCTATAATAAACCAAAAAATTAGCTGGACATGGTGGTACATGCCTGTACTTCCAGCTACTTGGAAGGCTGAGGTGGAAGGATCGCCTGAGCCCAGCAGGTTGAGCATGCCACTGCTCTCCAGCCTGAGTGAGATTTTCATGAGAAAACAAAAAGGCAAAAGTAACATCACATTTATAGACGCGCATGGTCTGTGCTTAAAAGCAATGACAAGTCACAAGGGGAAAATGAATTGATATGACTACATAAGAATTTTAAAAATCTGTTAAATATGAAACAGTATTTGCTGATGTGAACTTGGGAAAAATAAAATGTACACAAAGTTATATTTTCATAAAGAACTCATGCACGTTGATAAGAAAAATAGAAAGACACTAAAATAATAGGAGCAAAGGACTAAAAGCATTAATTCTTAGAAATGAGAATGTACAGGGTACATTTATCAAGTGATTAAACATCCCATTTCCAGGGTTATCAAATAAATGAGTATTCAAGTAGTAAGATGCTTTATTCATCTGACAAATCAGCAAAAATACCAAACAACACACATGCTTTTTTTAAAAAAATGAAAGTAAAGCCAGAAGCCAATTAAATTGAAACATTCATACATTGCTGACAGAAGTGTAAATTAGTTCAGCTTTTCTAGAAAGCTACTTGACAATACGCATTAGAATCCTTAAATATTTTATGACTTTGCCCAATAATAACCCTGACAGAAAACATTTTAAGCATAAAGTTATGCATTGTTAATAGGAAAATTGGAAACAATTTTTAAGTAAACTATGATGTTTAATGTGGCTCATGAAGAGTTTATAACAACACGTAAAAAACACCACAGAACAATTTGGAAAAGATAGGACAACATAATATCTACCTTATGCTTCTGGAATGTAAGAACAAAAACCACTCAGTAAAAGAAGGGCTAGACAAGAAAATACATTTGCCTCAGGTAACAGTCGCCTCCGAAAAGAAGCCTTTATTTAACTAGTACTTACAGGTGCTTTCTGCTTGCCAGGCCTGGCTCTAAGGGTTTGTAAATATTAGCTTTGCACTGTCCATTAGAAAAATAATAGGAGCTGGATACAGTGGTTCATGCCTATTATCCCAGCTACTTGGGAGGCTGAAGTGGGAAGATCAGTTGAGGCCAGGAGCTTGAGTCCAGCCCAGGCAACGTAGTGAGACCACTCCCCACCATCCACCAACTCATCTTTACAATAATAATAGGCTGGGTTCGGTGGTTCATGCCTTTAATCCCAGCACTTTGGGAGACCAAGGTGAGAAAATCACTTGAGCCCAGGAGTTCAAGACCAACCTGGACAATGCAGTGAGACCTCATCTCTAAAAAAAGAAAAAAAACAAAACCCTAAAAACAAGCTGGGTGTGGTGATGCAGTCCTATAGTCCCAGCTACATGGGAGACTGAGGCAGAAGGATTACCTGAGCCCAGGAGGTCAAGACTGTACTTAGCCAAGATGGCGCCACACTGCACTCCAGCCTTGGTGAGAGAGTGAGATCCTGTCTCAAAACTTTAAATGTTTTTATTTTAAAGATGTGGTGTACAATTCAGGGTTAGGTATACAAATGTTCATAATGTAGGTACCCTTGTTGATGAGATTCCCACTTAAATAAATAAATGAGGCAGATTCCCACTTAAATAAATATTTAAAAAGTCAGCCAGGTGTGATGGCGTGAGCCTGTAATCCCAGCTACTCAGGAGGGTAAGGCAGGAAGGTCTCTTGAGCCCAGGAGTTTGAGGCCACAGTGAACTACGATTCTTCTGCAAGCTCAGCAAGACTCCATCAAAAAAAAAAAAAAAAAAAAAGAGCCACACAGATAACTTTAAACTCTCTGGCAGTCACATTAAAAACTCATTTTAATCATATATCCAAATCATTTTAACATGTGATTAATATGATTAACAAGCCAAGCATAGTGGCTCACGCTTGTAATCCCAGCACTTTGGGAGGCAGAAGTGAGAGAATTGCATAAGTACAGGGGTTCAAGACAGCCTGGGCAACTTGGTGACATCTCATCTCTACAAAAAATCAAAAAACTAGCTGGGCATGGTAGCCCACACCTGTAGTTTCAGCAACTTAGAAGGCTGGGGCAGAAGGATTGCCTGAGCAGGTCAAGGCTGTGAGTATGCCACTGCACTCCAGCCTGGGTGACAGAGTGAGACTCTGACAAAAACAAAAAAAGATTAACAAATGAGGTAAATTAATCTTATTAATAATTAACTAATAGTGAGCTATTTTGCACTCTTTTTGTTTTATACCAAGTCTTTGAAATCCAGTGTGTATTTAATACAGTATATTTCATCTGTGACTGGTCACATTTTGAGTGTTCAATAAGCCACATATGGTGTTATGGGTTGAATTGTGTCCTCCCCTCAAATTCATATGTTGAAGCTCTAATCTCCAGTACCTCAGAATGTGACCTTACTTAGAAACAGGGTCATTGCAGATGTAATTAGAGGTCATATTGGAATAGAGTGGGCCACTACTCCAATGTGCCCTTATAAAAGGGACCTCTTGGATGCAGACACACACTCAGGGAGAACCCCATGTGAAGATGAAAGCAGGAATTGGGGTGATGCTTCCACAGGTCAAGAGGCACCAAAGATTACCAACCAACCTTCTGAAACCAAGGAAGAGGTGTGGAACCAATTCTCCCTCACAGTCCTCAGAAGGAACTTGCCCTGTCGACACCTTGATCTTGGACTTCTAGCTTCCAGAACTGTGAGAGACTAAACAGTGTTGTTTAAGCCACTCCGCTTGGGGCACGAGGTTACAGCAGCCCTGGCACACTCATAGCCAAGGTGAGTGGCTGCCATATTGGACAGTGCAGGGTTGGTATATTTCACCCTCCTGACTGAGCCCTGCAGTAGCCACTGTTGTGTCTCCTTACGGACTGGGACACGGAAGCTCCAAGAGCCTTCTGAAGTCTCACAACCAGCAAGCAGCCAAGCCAGGACTGGAACAAAGGCAGGCGGGTGCAAGGCCTGGCGCTTGTCACGATGTCTTGTCCTTCTGCCTGCGGAGCCCTCAGGGTTTCAGATCACCCTCCAGCTCCCGTCTTTCCAACACAGGACAGATGTTCCCCTGAGCACACGGGGTGCCTCCTCAAATCTTAGCTGTTGCTGGATATGGAAGACTTTGGTTCTAACCATCAGGGTGCCA